CAGCCTCTGTTTTGTTCAGGTAACTCTTGGAAGCTGCCTGGAGTGCTTGTACAAGTAACAAGGTGGAATAGCAAAACAATCATAATCGTCGACTCCACGTTTCCCCCTTCCTTAATTGTTGAGTCACAGCACCAGTCTTACGGAGGCAGGCGCAGCCTTGAGGAGCGATTCTAAAAACAGCTTTGCCAGCCCAGCCTCCTCTGTGGTCTCGGCCTTCGTGACTCTGTGGTGCTTTCCCAGAAAGACGTGTCTGAAAGCGCCCGAGTCGAAACTGTGTTTTGAAACCTCAGATGTTCCCTGACGGCTCAAAAATTGCTGATGATATGTCTGGTGGCGAGGGGGGTGGGGGGGGGGGGGGCGGGAGAGCAGAGCCCGCCCAGATGCCACCTTCCAGGCAGTTTCTTGACATGAGCATCTTTCACTTTACCTGTCTGGAGATAAAATGTCTCTATCAGAGAAAGGCGTCTGTGCCGGAAAGTCTGAAGGGTGGCACGAGCGGAATTTATGACTGCCAAGTTCACCCATTAGGCTGTCGATGCACTCAATGAAAAAGGAAGTCAACGTCACCGCATTTTTTTTGCCATGGGGAATTGCTCTAGGGCTGCCAGCTCGGGTGGGGAAACATCTGGAGATTTTGGGGGTGGAGCCTGCAGAGGGTGGGGTTTAGGGAGGGGAGGGGCCTCAGCTGGATATGATACCATAGAGTCCACCCTCCAAAGCCGCCATTTCACCCTGGGGATCAATTTTAATAGCGGGAGATCTCCATGTCCCACCTGGAGGTTGGCAACCCTGAATTGCTCTCTTGTCTCCTCTCCGTCATGGGAGGAGCAACCCTCCAGTGACTTTATAGCATTGAAAAGCTCTATGAAATCGCACTGGGTCGGATCCGGAGGAGGTGCCCCGCCAACAGCAGTGCTTCCTCCTGCTCGCAAAGCCTTCCCCTGAAGCCGTGAGAAGACGACTCTCCTTGTGCTGGAGAAGAGTCCTTCTGTGAGCGGAAGACCTCCTCCAGGAACCAACCCAGTCTCTTCAGGGCACAGAGTGTCTTCTTCACACTGGTGGCAGCGCCTGCTGTGGTCAAAGAAGAGCTCTGTCGGCACCCTGACACCCTTGAGGCATGTGCTTTGCAAAGTGCATGGATGTGAATCTGACATCCCAAGAGCTCAGCCTGCTAGAAATGTGTGTGAGAATGGAGGTTGCACCGACCAGTCCTAAAACAGAGGAGTGGGGTCCGTTGGAGGCACAGAAATGCTGGGTGGGAGGGAGATCCGCTCCCCTCTGCACCCTCGTCCCAGCCATTTTCATTCGGTTCCAGGATGAGACCAGTAGGTGGGGTGGCCAACCTTCAGGTGTGGCCTGGAGATCCCCCAAATTACAACTGGTTTCCGGACAACCGAGATCAATTCCCCTGCAAAAAAATGGCGGCTTTGCATGGTGGAC